CAATGGACATAGCAAATTTTGTTAATATTCAAATTGCACAAATTAACAAATCAGCTAAAGGAAGAAAAGAAACTGATGAATTTAAATATAAATGTTTGGCTATATACTTTTTCGGGCCAAAAATATGCAAGACGCTCTTGACAAATCTATTTTGCCTTCCACGTCCAGAGATCCAGAGACACTAAGATATTGAATATATGACATCGATATCAAACCTGGCTTAGAAAATCTTAGTGTATTTGAAACTCTGAAAAAGAAAAGTTGAAAGTTTCGATGAACCGGATGAACTTAATCGATATTGTGTTCTATGTATTGATGATATGAATATCAAGTGCAATTTATTTTATAATAGTGGTCGTGATAATATTGTAGGTTTTATGGACCAGAAGGGGAACAGAGAGTTTAAACCAGCTCGGATGTCTAATGTTGTTATGGTAAGAGGTATTTTTACGAATGGGAAGCAGTCCCTAGCTTATTTTACAAGCTTTTATTTAACTTACTTTGTATGTATGTTTGTTGGGGGTAAATCTTGTAAGCTAAATTAGAAGCACTTCCTTTCATTGTAGGAAATTGAAATTTGGCATGGAGGTTCAGTCCCGATGACAAAACATTTTTTTGCAAGACATGATCCGAATTATTGACAGCTGTCAAAAAAATTTCGAAGTTTGTCCGATTTTAATAAAAATCGATATATAGGATGACCATGGGCTAAAATGAAAGAAAAAAAAATTGGGCTGTCAAATTTGACAGCTGTCAAAAAATTTCAAAGTTGTCCTATTTTGATAAAAATCTATATATAGGATGACCATGAGTTAAAATGAAAGAAAAAAAAATTGAACTGTCAAATTTGACAGCTGTCAAAAAAATCTCAAAGTTGTCCGATTTTGATAAAAATCGATATATTGGATGCTCCCTACCCCATAGTCGGTTTTCATTTTATTTGTCTCACATTTGAACTGTCAAATTTGACAGCTGTCGTTTTTTTTAAGTTCTCCTTTTTTAATAAAAATCGATATACATATTATTAGGATGCCCATAGGAAGTTATTTAAGAAAAAGAATTGAGTTTAAGTGTGTGGCACTGAGAAACCAGCATAACTAAAAAGTAAAAAATAAATTTAAGAAAAAAACTTTTTAAAAACAAGCCTTTATTTAAATACATTAAAAAGAAAAAAATAAACTTTTTCTTTAAAACTTTTATTGTGAACTTATAACGTTATGACACAATTTTATATTACATAACAACTTCGAGAGATTTGAGTGTACAGTTGCACTCATAAAAATCTGGTACGACAACTTTATCTTGTAATTCCAATATCTTGTAAACCTATCATTATTCCCATCCAGGATAAATTCATCCAGTTTAGTAGAACATTTAAAAAACTTTGTGTCCGAATATTACACACAGGTACTGAAAATTGCCAAAATGATTTGGCAAACATGTTATTAAAAACGGCAGACCTTATTATAAAAAACAACGAGACCTCTGTTCTTTTCAGAAAAATAGAAATTTAGAAAAATGAATCTTGTTTGTCATTTTGCAGGATACCTAATAATAAAAATTTCTTTGAATGCCGTAGACAATGATTGAGTATGAAAACTAAAAGAATTTCGGACTTCCATTGTACTACTAAACTACAAAAACCAAATATATCACACAATAAACAAAAATATATCACTCAAGAAAAGAATGAAATAAATTAAGCGGCACGCTACTGACTCAAAGCTGCTGTAACTGTATGTTGTCGATGACAAACGGCCGTATTCATAGTCGAGCGCCAGCCGCCCGCCGAAGATTTCTCCGGCGAGCGCTTCGATATCGGGAGAGAAAAAAAGCTCTTTCATAGTCGGCCGCCAGCGCACCGCTGGCTGGCGAAAATGACGGCGCGTCGCCAAAAAAATTTCACTTCGGGTGGAGGGTTTCAACAACAGGGAACATGTTTTCTTCCTTTTTCTACACAAAATCGGTTATACGAACTTTAACATTCTCTAAATATTTAAATATTTTATTGACATTGGGTAATTTAAATATTTTATTGATGTGTCCATTATTTTGTTATAATTCGTTTTAAAGTAATGAATAATATCTTCGTAATCCTTCACTTATAGTAAAAAGATTTACAATTTTTTATATACATATTTTTTTGGATAGGTATATTTTTGGGTCATAATAAAAAGGATATTAAGTTAATAATTTACATAATGGGGAATTCCATAGGTTTGTTCGGTTTTATTTGAAAGTTTTATGGATTCGTTTTTATTACGTTTATAAATTTTTATAGACCTTAATCTTAACCTATTGGTGCTGTGTTAAGGATTTTAAAATTATTTTAAGGGAAAATATGACCAGAGTAGAAGTAATTTATATTTTTAAATTGGCTCTATTTTTGTTTTGTGTAGATGACTGATGTTTGGTGAATTTGGTATATTTTTTCCAGTTTGTGTAAATTACAAAGAAAATTAATGTAATAAACGTAAAAACAATAGGAAAAATAAAAAATCATAAACATAACAAAAACAAAACGATAAAACATTTAAATGGTCAAATAGCCGGACGGAATTCATATGCCTCAAATGTAATGAATAATGGCCTCAAAAATACGCATGTCATCGTTCTCGTTAATCGTCACAATATTATAAATATCCATAATTAATTCAGTTTGCTTGGTGCTTCTTTCAACTAGATAGACTAAACTGGCGGAACGCCCGGAGATGGCAAGGACATGCTCCAATCGCCGCCCGAAAATCACCGGATGGGGTTTAAACTGCGCAAATGTTCTTCGCCTGGAGATCGACTATGAAACGGAAAAAAAATGCTTATCCAACCGCCCGCCGGCGAGAGAGCGGTTACTCTATATGACGGATGTGCGCACGCGTTACTCGAAGAGCGTTCGACTCTGAAATAAGAACGAAGAATTTCGGGAAAGCTCCTCCCAGCGGGAGGCTGGCGATCGACTATGAATACGGCCGAAAGACTACGACTGACTACGACCATAGAGAAAGTTAATAGTTTAGAGAGTGGTGAATCGCGTGGTAAAATGTTGGGAGATTGCGCTTTTAGCGTCCTCTACTTGGCTACAGGAACGAACTATGAAAGAGCGGGAGATTTAAATTATTATTATACTTATTATTTTTAAGGCAATTAAAACTAAAAGTGCCCTTAACCAAAAACAGTGAAATAAATGGAGATACCTACTCAAATTTTATATTATCATGATACTAAAGGATATAAATACAGCATTTATAATCCTTTTACACCTTTTTATTCAAAGTCTTACATGTTAATATAAAATTTGACTATTTCCATTTATTTCACTATTTTTGGTTAAGGGCACTCTTAATTTTAATTTTCCTTTTTTATGGGAAAACGATTAAATGGGAAGAATTGAATGGGAATGGAAAGAATGACCAATTATTGTATTTTGTATTAATTTATAATACCCCTATTCTACTAAATATTTAGCTACATTGTACTTACAGTTAAATAGCTACATTGTACTAGTTATATACATATTTACAGTTTTATGATGGCTATTATTTCTTTTCATCATGCTATCAATTGATTCGCTCCGACTTGAGTACTATACCTCGAGATAGCTCCAGGAATTATTTATCTTTACAGGCCTAGAATATGAAGATTCACAGTAGAATTTTTGGTTTTACTGCCTATTAGAAACAAACCTACCCTCCTACATAAAGGGACATACAATTATGCCTTGTTCTCCGCCATGATATTCCTTCCATTCTATATCCAACATCCAACTTAGCAGACCTTCTGGTTCACAACAGGGCCTAGACTGGCCGGATGATATTTTAACAGAATAGCCCTTGATATCTCTTTCACACTTTCATTTAATAATTAAATAGGAGGGCTGGATGGTATAATTTCTAGAAAGAATAGCCTGTGAAATAAAAACTTCTGCATGGACATTACCTTTCTTACCTTTGTCTGCTATTTTTTAATAAAAAATCACTGTTTAGTTTGCACAAAAATAAAATTAACAATCAAAAATTTCTTAAAAAATGACCAAGCCTTGTACTACGCCGTGTGCCGGTTTTTGAACAAACAACAAACAAAAGAATGAGGTTAGCGGCGTTGCCAATGTCATTGTCATGTCCCGATTCACCAAAAATTCCCCATATGATTATTTTAACAAAAAAAAATAATTTTAATAAAAATACAATATTTATTATATATGTTAGAGGGATTAAACTGTAAATTACCTCCTTGTTTTTTAATCCCTTCCCTAGTAGTCTTTAAATAATTTGAGGTCACTAAATTTTCTTTCAACTGAAGCATTTGCAAAGGGAAGCACAAGTAAAAAGCAGATTATAATTTTTAAGTTGGGAAAGATATATCGTCCCGCTCCGTTTTTAAAGCTAAAAATTTTACGCCATTTTCAATCAGCAATAAAATGTTGAAACCCTTATTTTCGCCGCCTATTGCTAATCCCCACAAAATTCCCAATCGGCTCCGGATTCCCCAAAATTTGGGGAATTCCCCACAAATTGGCAACGCTGGAGGTTAGCCTGTTCTTTCTGAATATACTAAGACTAACGGACTAGTGTCGAAACACAGATAGCTAGATGGACGTATTTCGGCACTTGCGTCGATGCGCTACAGGAACATTTGCCTGCGCGTCGTATGTCTTCTGGCAGTCTTTTAATTTTTCTGTTTGTCTATGACTACGACACTGGTTAATTTCTGTTGCTGGCACCCATAATGGCGGCGTGCGCAAGGGTATGCGCGTAGTGTTCCCGCCAAAGCGAGTCGGACTGCCGTGTGATTTATATACCGTGATATTACTATCATCAGGAGACTTCATCCAGGTTTAAAACTCTCTAAAATAAATTTGATATTCAACTTCCTCCTACATTTTTATGTGACTATTATTTAATGTTCTAAAAATGTTTTCCTTAATTTGATATTTTTTTGTCGGGGTCTATTTTTAAATAACGAAAACCTTGTTCCTTCATTCTAAATCGTAAATTATAACTTACCATATTTGACAGGTAAGCCAGGCATCTTAGAAGATATTCTAATCTTGTTAGGGATGGCGGATGAAGGGCTGGGAATAGCTGTCTATGATGTCTCAACTGCTGAAGCCATCTCTCTGAAATTTAAAATTTTGCGATATAATACTCAATTTATTTCTGACACGTTCTTCTTCCTGTTAGTTAAATAGAATTGTTTTTGGAATGTTATTGTATACTGTCACCATTATATTTTTTATCCCACGATTAACAGTTCTTATTTATTTAATTCTTTGATATACAGGGTGGCGCACCTCATTCGCCTCGGTTCATTATACGAAAACGGAAAGATGTAGAAACAAAATATTTTATGGGGTTATGTAGGAAGGCAATATGCATAATTTAGAATTATTTTGAAATGTACAGGGTGTGTCACAACTAAGATCTATACCAAAGTTATATTTTTTCTTATGGAACATCCGGTATTTTATTTCATAATAAAATGGATTCTTGGACGTAAATTAAGGCATTTATTATAAGGGTTTAATATGTTTAAAAGCTTTGGTTTTTGAGATATTTAAAGATATTTAAATATGCATGCCATAAGAATAAAGTTTGTCAACACACTATTACATTACTTTTCAGAATTAATTCTTATGCTGAGTTTCAAGCCAGAGAAATAAACTAAAAAACTTTATTGCTTCCTAATTTTTTTACAGGGGTATCGAAAATTGCTGGTCTATTTTAATTGTGTATTTTACATATAAACTTCGTTATTTCAAATGCAACACTATGTATTTTTAGCCTATTGGTATGGTAGGCTATAAGTTTTTTTAATTTCACTCAAAATGAGTTACTTGGGTCATAAATGACCTAAATACAAAATATTTTCATGGTGTCTGTCTGTCTGTCTGTCCGTCTGGCCGTCTGTAACACGATAACTCAAAAACCGCTGAAGCGATTTTAACCAAATTTGGCACAAAAATACTGTGGCACCCGAGAATCTGGCCGTTAGTTTTTGATGGGGGTGGGGGATTGGTAAGGGGGTATGGGAGGGGGTTAAAAATTTTAAAAAATCGTAACTCCAAAATTACAGTAGCTAGCGAAACGCGGTTTTCAAATTAAGATTAGGAATAATATTTGCAACAAAATCCATACATATATAAAAGCTCAAAGGGTTTTTTTGTTACATCCATCCCGCCGAAACTGCTTTACCAATCTTGATGATTCTTTTTTTAAAGGAAAGGTATATATATGTCTAGATTTGTTATGAAGTATTTTTAAATTGTTGAATGGCTATTTCTTTGTGTAAATCGACTAAATATTAAAACATACCTGAAAAACACCTACATACAATACTTCCAGAAATAAATTATTTGTCATTGTCAGTGGTTTGTCAGTTAGATTATATATCAAGTTTTTAGATATTTTAGGGATCAGTTCATACAGCCAGCTTTGGATACATAAATATTAGAACAAAGGTTCGTTTAAACGATATTAGTGAATTAGCTACACAAAGCGATTTTAGTTTTAATTCATCCTCTTAGAGAGTAAAATTATATCGGAATAATTTGTTGTATGAAAATTCCTTACTATGTGGTCTAGAAGAATGAAATCCTACAAAAAGAATTAGAAGAGATTTTTGAAATTCATCAACCAAATGGGTAAAGTTGGTAAAAAATTATATAAAACTTGGTGACCTCTGGATTATACAGATAAAAATTGTAAATAAAAATAAAAATAGTTAGTAATAACATCAAAATCAGTCAAAGTCGCAGTTTTCGAGATATTAACATATTTTAGTATCGGCGGCTATACGTGCCTCCCGGCGCCAATTTTTTTAAATAACTCGAAGCAAATTTAAATGCTCATTCAAACTATGTTAGGGTTTCCTATACCTATCTGGCTCAGATTTTGAATTAAAACCGATTTTTCAATAAAACTGTAATGAAGATGGCTGGTGTCGCCATGGCAATTTTCTAGTGACACTTAGTAGTTATTTTCAAAATCGATATTAGTTTATGGACTTTATTTAAATTTATACATATAACAGGTTTTATTTAATTTACACATTTTTATTTAATTTACCTACAATAAAGTTAATAAGTAAGTATTTATTATTTTATCGAGAAAAATGAAGCAGTATCTGCTGGCGAAAGGAATGGATATGTTACTAGTAATTATATTTTGTAAAATATATACCGGGTGCGTCTCAAAAGTGACTCACCCCTATAATTTTTTTATTTTTTTAGTTAAAAAACGAGATTTGGTATGTTAGTATATGACATAAATTAGGATTGATTGACGTATTCAATTGTTTTCGGTCACTTCCGGTTTCACCGAAAACGACTAAAACTTTTGATTTTTAAATGGCACCCCCGATATTTTTTTACTTTATTCGATAGAGAATGTCACTCTAAATAGAATGGTATATCATATGTCAACTTTTGACATTTTCGCATATGGTTTATTTAAAATTATAACTTGCGGTTCGTAAAGAAAATTTGACTTGAAATACCAAGTGTGTGTTATCCAATTATTCGTAAAAAAATGCTTTTTCCAAATATGCTAATGAGCCACCCTCGTTCCATTTGAAAAAATTGAGATATGATTAAAAATACGATTTAAGCATTTTCTAACTGGCAAGGACAAGACACTAAAAACATTACACGATTAAATATATTTTTCCAAAGCTCCTTCATGAAGAATTAATGTTTTTAACATAGCCATGGCACTCTAGATTGAATTTTAAATTACAATTTTTTATTAAGCGAGAATGTCAAAATTTGACATGTGACATGTCATTCTATTCAGAATGTCATTTTCTATTGAATAAAGTAAAAAAATACCGAGGGTGCCATTTAAAAATCAAAAGTTGTAGTCATTTCCGGTGAAACAGGAAGCGACCAAAAACAATTGAATACACCAATGAATCCTAATTTATATCATATACTAACATACCAAATCTCGTTTATTTATCTGAAAAAATTAAAAAGTTATAGAGGTGAGCCACTTTTGAGACGCACCCGGTATATAAAAAGTAAAAAAATAAAATAATATACAAATTAAATTTACATTTTAAATTAGGATAAAATAAATACATTTTAGATTTAAAACCTGAGAATAGAAGAAAAATATGGCTGTAAAGTGCACTACGCCCCAATCCTTTTTTCCAGCTTTATTACAATTTCTCATGTCTTTCTCCATTAGGGCCTTACCCGGCGTACAATATGAAATTTACGTGATGAAACACACAAATAATCCAGAGAAAGTCGGCGAAAAACGAACGAAGTTCGAGTTTATAAAGTTTCTAGAGTCGAAGGGAGCGTGGTAAATTAAAAGCGTTTTATTAAAAGAGTTTGAAGCATTGGAAAACAGAATTTCTAAGAATAGTTAGTAAATACAGTTAATTAAGGCCTTAAAGTATGAAGGGAAAAGTTTTTTTTTTAAATTAAGGAGTATTTTTTTCAAAAATAACATTTTTAGAAGACATTAAGAGTCCATTTCGCTAGTCCGAAAAAGTAGCAAAATAAGCGTTCGGTATTTAACGTTTTATGTAAAACTGGCTAGGTATTTTTACAAAAATGAAGAAGGAAATTAAAGATAAAGGATTATACTATATCCGTATTGTAGCACATTTTTAGACAACTTCTTTATTTTTCTGTTTTTAAGATTTTTAAGATTTTGATGGTCAAACATCAAGCAAAATATTCCTTAAGTTTGGACTAAATTTTCTCGAAAATAAAGACATAATTTAAAATTCCCTTACAATACGGAAATAGATTGAAGTTTTGTGATTATACAGTGATATACAGGTCCGGTAATAGGATATCTAGGCATAGGAATTACATGCATTGGAATGAAACGCCTATAAAAAGTCTAAGCTTAAACAGAGATGGACAACAACTTCCCCGTTTCCACTTCCACTACGACTGTCGAGTTAGACAAACTCCAATAAGATAACAAATTTTGGAAATTCCGCTGCCTCCCATCCACCCATGATACCCATCCACCTGCCCTTTATCGCCATTATTTTATTTCCCTTTCCGCGCGTCCGCAAAACGCCATCACCTCAGACCATCACAGAGTTGCCAGGTCTACCGGTTTCGTCTGTAAGCTACCGATCTACCGATTTAAACAAAAATCTAACGATATGTTCAACTGCGTCTTTAGTCTAATCTGACTTTATTATTGTTTATTAAATTTTATTAAGTAATCATAGGTCATCGTTCTATCTAGTTGCAGAGTGACAAATATATTCCTACAAATCCTTATTACTCTTTATTAGGCGCGGTATTGGCGATATGCCAGAAGAAGTTGATATCTTTTGAAAAGATTTTGTTTCATTCATCTACTAAAGTTAAACCCATATTTTCCCAAAAAAAATATAAACAAAAAACAAAATCTAAGTTAAGAAACAAACTGAATACGGATAAATATTTTAGTGCTTTTCCTGTCAAGAAATATATTAATATGAAAAAAGAGTTGAGAGTTGCTACAGCTTTCCCATTGAAATGAAATTAAGTTTAGATATCACTGATCAAAATTTGTACAAAGGTAAAAAGTGACTGCTATCCCTACTTGTTATAGTTTTTATTAATATATTAATATTGTTTAATTCAATATATATTTTTTTAATATTAAATAATATACCTCTACCTCAACCCGGATTCATCCACTCCTGGATATAGGTCTCTCCTATCCTTTTCCATGACTCCCTGTTTTGTGCTATATTTAACCACCGTTTACCTGCCACTTCCTTAATGTCACGCAGGGACGTGCCCCTGCCCACGCGAGCCTTATAGCTTATCTCCCAAGACCATACTGGGGAAATCACTGTCCCATCCCATTCTCATATCCAAACCTCAAAATTTTCTAATCAAAAGCGTGGCCTTGAAATTACCAAACCTCTAAACCACGAAATGTAGAACCTTAAAACAAAACTACCCTAGACGAGTAGAACGTATGATTCAGAATCTCGCACTGAATATAATATACCTACCTATTTCTAATTCTTGTTATATTTACTATATTTGTATTTTATTTGAGTGATCTAGTATTACGACACATAGGAATGCTAATTTTGGACTTAAATATTATATTTTATTTTGTTTCTGTACTTTTGATTTTTGTTGAAGAT